GTTCAGAATCCTGAACAAGTGCACCACTTTGAGGAAGATATTTTTGGACACGGAGGCAAAGGAACTGCCCCCATATGTAAAATGTGCCCTAGTTCCCTGGGCTCATGCTCCTGTCCACTCCTTCCCAATGCACTGACAATTTCCTTGTGCCAGGGAAGACAATAAATGCAAGACAGCCTTCCAAACACGTTTCAGCTAATTTCAGTCTATGTTATTGCTCCAGCCAACTTCAAGGGATTAATGCCCAGCATCTAATAGGAAATCCTAGATAGGAGTCATTTTTTTATGTACAATACCACATTTTCTCTCAAACTGATCTTGTGTGAATTTCTAGTCAGGGTGGTATTACTCTGCTTGTGGCAACATCAACTTGCAAGTAATGTGTGTTAGATATTATCACCATTATGTACTAAGCATTTGGAACAGTCAGGCAAGTATCCTAACCTAGAAGTCAGAATTCTGGGAGCCATCGAGGTAGACCCATTCTAAAAATTCTTCAACCTGAAAACATTGTGGCCTGTCAGTGCCACTTACAACTAACCAGAGGCAATAAGCACAGTAGTGGATAAGGAAGATTTTGTGACCACCCCAGTGGTCCTAAGAAGCCGGTAGTATTGAAAAATCTGCAACATTAATTTGAGGGCACCTGGATGGCTCAGTTGGTTAAGCGACTTCCTTCAGCTCAGGTCATGATCCCGGAGTCCTGGGATCGAATCCCACATCGGGCTCCCAGCTCAGCGCGGAGACTGCTTCTCTCTCTGACCCTCTCCCCTCTCATGCTGTTTCTCTCTCTCTCTCTCTTTCTCTCTCGCTAATAAATAAATAAATAAATAAATAAATAAATAAATAAATAAATAAATCTTTAAAAAAAAACACATTAATTTGAGTAAGTGGAAGATCCACCCAAGTACTTTTGCACCACTCCAATGTCCTTCATAGAACATTCAAAGTATTAGATGTGGTGTTATGCAACTCCCAATTTATGGCCCAGTTCTAGAAGAAACGGTCAGGGCCCTTTGTATCTATTTACCACCAAAAACTATATGGAGCATAGCATTAACTGGGTGGATGAAGAACCTCTGTTATACTATCTACCCACAAAATGGTGAGTTCATCTACCTCGCCACAGTGTAGTTTGCTTATAAAGAGCTCATTGCCTTCCTCTACCCGGGACATGCCCATTCACAGTAGCTGTGGCATGATTTTTACCTACAGCTCACCCCAAGTGGCTTCTAAAACTTGGCAGCTGGGGGAAACTATGGGTTACCAAAAGTATCTTCTAGCTTGCCAAAAATCAATCCAAAGAGTATGCCAACTGGTGCTTGATTCAGGAGGAAGGCATCCAAATGGGTGATACTGTCCAGCACATCTCCAAGTACACAGTAACCATTTATATGGGAAGCTGGGAGCCTACTACTTAGAAACTGAGATAATAGAGAACATCACCTGGCTGTACCCTTAATCAGTCTGAGGCCTCAGAACCAGACAAAGAGCTTGTACAGTTACCTGCACCCAGACCAGTAATTACTTGCAGTCAAGGTCCCATTGCTCACTTAGGAATATGCTCTTACTCTTTCTCCTCAGAACATATCTACTTGGCCACAGACATTCTGGCACCCCCACCTTGCCCAAAGTCAAATGACACTACTTCCAGGAACTGGCCCCTCATTGCTATAACCTGTGATGAAGTACAAATCAGCCCCCTGATTCAGTTCAGGTTTCTAGAACTGTATATTCTGTCACCTGTCCAAATCTTCAACTATCAAAGGAAGGGTTTCAAACAGTGCTCCTCTCTGGCAGGATCATTCTCAAAGAAGGTGAAAGGAGATTTCCACTGGAGTGCAAAGGTGGGGAAGGAGGGACAGAAATGAATGAGTGGGGTCAAGCCAGAATGAAGGGGAAAAGCAGGAGCTGGGGAAATACTCCAGAAGAGAAGTGGCATTCCCGTTCTCCACCAGAGGTGAGTGTGTGATCACAACAATTTCCGGAGAATGGCAGACTTTGATCCAGTTCCTGACAAGCTCAGGATTCTGAGATGCAAGTCAAATCTAGCCTATTTAAGCAGAACATGAATTTATAAAAAGAATATTGGTGGGATAACATCAAACTAAACAACTCTGCACAGGAAAGGAAACAATCAACAAAATGAAAAGGCAGCCTACAGAATGGGGGAAAATAGTTGCAAACCATATATTTGATAAAGGACTACTATCCACAATACATGAGAAACTCCTATAATTCAAAAGAAAAAAAAACAATTAAAAATTGGCATAAGATCTGAGCAGACATTTCTCCAAAGAAGACACACGTATGGCCAATAGGTATATTAAAAGATGCTCAACATCACTAATCTTCAGGGAAATTAAAACCACAATGAGATACCACCTCACACCTGCAAAAAATGGCTGCTATCGAAAAAAAAAAGAAAAGAAAGAAAAGACATGTTGGTGAGAATGTGGTGAAAAGGGAGAACCTTTGTATACTATTGATAGGAACATACACCAGTGCAGCCATTATGGAAAACAGTATGGCGGTTCCTCAAAAAAGTAAAAATAGGGGCACCTGGGTGGCTCAGTCGTTAAGCATCTGCCTTTGGCTCAGGTCATGATCCCAGGGTCCTGGGATCGAGCCCCGCATCGGGCTCCCTGCTCAGCGGGAAGCCTGCTTCTCCCTCTCCCACTCCCCCTGCTTGTGTTCCCTCTCTCACTGTGTCTCTCTCTGTCAAATAAATAAATAAAATCTTTTAAAAAAAAAAGTAAAAGTAAATTCTATTTCTGCATATGTATCCAAAGAAATTGAAATTATGATCTCAAAGAGATATCTGCACTTCCATGTTCATTGCAGCATTATTCACAGTAGCAACATAAATGTCCATCAATGCATAAATGGGTAAAGAAGTGTCGTATATACACACACATACAATGGAATATTATTCAGCCTTAAAATTAAGAAGGAAGTCCTGCCATTTGCAACAACACGGTGAACCTGGAAGACATGCTAGGTGAAATAAGCCAAAGAAAGACAAATACTATATCACCACTTATATGAAGAATTTAAAGTAATCAAACTTGTAGAAGCAGTAGACTGGTGGTTGTCAGAGTCTCGGCAGGGGGGAAGAAATGGAGAGGCAGTAGTCAAAGAGTACAAAGTCGCAGTTATATAAGATGAATAAATCCTCGAGATCTACTGTACATTACAGAACCTGTAGTTAATACTGTATTATATACTTAAAATTTTCCTAAGAGCATAGATCTTCTATTAAATGTTCTTACCACAAAATAAATAATAACAATAAAGAGGGTGGGAGGAAATTTTTGGAAGGGACGGATGTTTATGACCTAGATTGTGGTGATGGTTTCACAGGTGTACACTTACCTCCAAACTCATTAAGTCGTACATATTAAACACGTACAACTACTTGTATGCCAATTTTACAATAAAGTTTTAAAAAAAAATATTGGGAAGTACATAAAAGCTATAAAAGGAACAGAGAAGCAAGTTTGGTGGACAGTAACCGAATCATGCTGCAGGCCTGGTTGGGCACAGACACTGTGTTCAGTACTGTGGCAGGCACGGTTGCCACCAAGGACCCCGGGCTCTGAATGTGCTGCTAGAAATAAGATGCGGCTTCACTGCTGGCACTTCCCATTAGTAGAAGACGACTACATAGCCCCTGCTTCTCTGCAACCTTCCTCTTTGATTCAGAATCTGAAGCAGTTGTCTGGCCTAGCCAAAACTCTTTGCCCATGCCCTAGCTGCAAGAGAGCCTGGCATCTTGGTCCATTTGGACAGCTGTCACAGAATGCCATAGACTGGGGGGCTTATAAACAACAGAAATTTACTTCTCACAGTTCTGGAGGCTGGAAGTCTGACATCAGTGAGTCAGCGTAGTCCGATGAGGGCCCTCTTTCAGGTTGCAGACTTCTCATTGCGTCCTCATGTGGTGGAAGGGGCGAGGGAGCTCTCTGAGGCCTCTTAGAAGGACACGAATTCCATTCATAAGGGCTCTACCCTTATGACCTAATCATGCCCTAAAGGCCCCACCTCCAAATACCATCACCTTGGGAACTGGGTTTTCAACATACGAATTTAGAGGGAACACAAACATTCAGACCTGGGTAAGGAAGCTCTGGTCTTTTCAGCCTCCATAGTGAGATTCCAGTCTTGCTTTGGAGGGAATTCCCAAACCCCCATAAGAATGCTAGGTCTAGGGGCGCCTGGGTGGCTCAGTCGGTTAAAGCGTCTGCCTTCGGCTCGGGTCATGATCCCTCGGTCCTGGGATCGAGCCCCACACTGGGTTTCCTTTCCCTCTGCCCCTCGCCCCATCCGTTCTCTCTCTCTCAAATAAAATCTTAAAAAAAAGAAAAAGAAAAAAAGAATGCTAGGTCTACACTGCCCTACTCTACCCTACCTATCCTTACCCTATTCTACACTACTTTTCCAGCCCCTTCCCTGCCCCCTCCACTTTACCTTGCACTAATCAGGCTCCAAATCAGTAGCAAGCTGAAACCTCTCTACTGCTTCTATCTTCTACACACTTGCTATCCTGCTGCCTGAAATGCTCTTCCTGATACCACTATGTCCCATGGACTCCTTCTTATCCTCCAAGACTTAGCTCAAACGTAACTTCCCTATTAGACCAATTAAAGTTCTGCAAATATGCCAATTCCAGGAAATGAGTGTCCATCCAGATAAAGGACCTTTTTCACCTGCACTAACCCTAAGTATCTGTCAATATCCTAATTCCAGTAGGAGGCCACTCAAAACCCAGGAGTCAGAGAGGAGCAAGAGAATGGTGAGGGAGGTCTCATGATCACTGGGTTCTCCCTCCCCTCCCTCCTGACACAGGCATTGTAATTTGACATCTGAGATCCTAGGATCAGATTTGAGTGGCGAGGAGGGATCCCTGCCCTGTGCCTGGTTGGCATGGAGACTAGAGACTCAGAAAATCAAATAGCCCTATTTGCTAAGTACTCATAACAAGTCTGCTCTTGTTTCAGACCAGAAGGAGCTGGTGCCCACTAGGCTTCCCCCTATTATCCCAGAAGATGGGAATTATTCTGTGCACCAGAATAGCCACAAAAGTTACCACGAAGCTGTAAGGAAGGTGTTGTTAAAGACACGTAAGTATTGAGTCTGGGGGGCTCAGTCAGTTACGCTTCTGCCTTTGGCTCGGGTCATGATCTGGGGCTCCTGGGATCGAGCCCCGGTCTGGCTCCCAGCTCAGTGGGAAGCCTGCTTCTTCCTCTCCCTCTGCTGTTCCCCCTGCTGGTGCTCTCTCTCAAATAAAATCTTTAAAAAAAAAAAAAAAAAAAGACGTGAAAGTATCCTGGAGTGGGCACCATGCTAGGGACAGAATAGATATGCCTGAGTTTGTAAAGAATGGTTGGGCTGTGATGGGGCATGGTTATAGGGCAGGGGGAAAAAAACAGCCAAAAAGGGAAACTGAGAAAAGGAGGGTAAAAGTAGACTTGAATGGTAGAGTGAGCAAGATAAAACAAATTGAATCAGACCTGGAAGCAGAAGCTCCATATTGGAGTCATAGTTCTGCCTCTTTAAGTGTCTTACGTCAGGTAGCCACATATCTTCTATTAATCTTTCTCATTAAGAAAAAGAAAAGAAAATGCCTGCTCTACCAATCTTACAGAATTGTTGTGAGGATCACAACAAAATGAGGCAATTTAGGACAGTACTTTGTATATTATGTGCTATGCCTGTGAGGAGTGGTAGACCAAGCACTGGCTTTGGAATTTGAACTGAGTTTAAACTCCAAACAAATTGTGTGACCTTGGGCAAGTTCCTTTAACCACTCAACCTCTCTGAACCATCTGAAAATGGGAATCATACTCTAACATTGTTGTGAAAGAGAAAATGTACATTTAAAAAAGCATCACTACTGATACATGAGAGAACTTCTAGGAATCTTCAGGGAGTTATGCTATGCAAAGAAAGCCAGTCCCCAAAAGATCACATACTGTATGATGCCACTTATATAACATTCTTAAATGACAAAATTATAGAAATGAACAGCAACAGGGGCTAGGAGGGCATGGCTATAAAAGGGCAACTCCTGGGGCGCCTGGGTGGCTCAGTTGGTTAAGCGTCTGCCTTCGGCTCAGGTCATGATCCCGGAGTCCTGGGAACGAGTCCCGCATCGGGCTCCCCACTCAGCGGGAAGCCTTGCTTCTCCCTCTCCCTCTGCCTGCCGCTCCCCCTACTTGTGCTCTGTCAAATAAATAAATAAAATCTTTTAAAAAGGGGGGGGCAGCTCCCTTTCCCTGTTGGGGGAAATTGGGTAAAGCGTACACAGGATCTATGTGTATCATTTCTTACAACTATGTGTGAATCCATAATTATCTCAAAATTAAAGTTTAATTTAAAAAACTAAGGTACTTTCAGAAATTTAAAAAGACATATGGGTAGAGTATCTAAGAGTTATTCCTAATAGCAAATCCTTTTTAAGAGCTTATAGTCAATCAACAGGGAAACAACTAAGTCAAAAATGTACCATCTACTCAATGGTATATTACAGATTTTTTAAAATAATGATTATAAAGACTATATAGCCAGACTATTAGGCTAATTCTAAGTGTAAAGAATATACAAATTTTATACAATGGTTTAATTAGATTCATCCACATCAAGAATAAAAACTCCAAAAAAACTAGGTAAGTCTGATACTATTTCAAAATCTTAAGAGCACCTAATACATTTAGAACATGATAAGCACTTGATAAATGAATCTATTAGCAGTATCTAAATATGAGGTGGTATCATCGCTTAGTTTCAGAGAATTACCTGGAATGAGAAAAGGAAGGAATTTTTTCAGATAAGAGGGAAGGGAAAGAGGAAGATTAAGCCTGGGGGATGGGGGTAGGGGAAGCCAGTAGAGTAGACCCATCTTGCACAATTCCCGAGTGGGTTGACCACCTGTTTTTCCACCATCTTAGCACTTGGGGAAAGCTCTCTTGGAGATGGGCTTAGTAGCAGCAGGAAAAACCAAGACTGATTCAACTGACCATGAAGGGTGTGAGCTGCTGGAATCCGGAAGTGAAGCTGGGTGTGGTGGCCAGATTCCCAGGACTTCCCAGTACATGGTCGAGGCCCAGTTGCTAGGTTGGGCTTGTGCTGCCGTGAGGCACAAAAGGGGTTATCCAGTGTCCACAAAAGATACTGGATAACCTGCCCTTCCCCAACCATTCAAGTCCCCAATCAGGTCTTCAGAGTCCCCTTGACTGATGCTCAGAACTTCAGCTTCTGGCGGTCCCGTGATCCAGAAGCGCGCCCAGAGGAAACCATGCCATGGATCCGAAGCCCCCGCCACTGCCTCATCAAAAGCCCAATGACCAGGTTAGGTTGGGATGGGTGAGGGTGAGGAGACTAAGGGAAGAACTCCCTCCACTTACATCCTTAGAGACTGTTTCATCTCTTCTCAGTTCGGGAATAGAAGACAAAGTTGGGGTCTTACCAGGGAGAGCTGGCCCCAGGATCTGGCATTCAAAAGAGTTAAAGCTTTGTTTCTATCTTTGTGTTTCGCCTTGTGGCTATGACTTCTGGCGCAAGCACAAGACAAGTGTCTATAGCTTTCCTAGGGGAGTCCAGGGATGTCTCTGCTCCCTTCATTGCAGCCTCCCACCCTCCAACCACCATTCACTGGCAGTAGCCATACTTCCTCATTACTGCCCCTGCCCTCTCTGCCCTGAGGCAGTCTTGGGAGACGTTTAAGGACACCACCACATATACTCCAGCCTGGCCTGGCCGCATCTGAGACCCTCTCTCTCTTTTCCAGGTTCATGGATCACTCTGTTCTTAGAAGATGACAGAAACTTCAGTCTGTATTGAGCAGGATGTGTTTGCAGAAGAGCAAGATGGACCGTGGAAACAGGGCAAAGAAAGAGAAAGTGGGAGAAGGTGTCCTGGTTCCACTGACTGACTGAGAGGAGGCGATCGCAAAAGCAGAGTAAACAGATTGGACTAGCGTCACTTGTGTGCGCTGCAAGTGAGGCGGAGGGAAATTATTCCAATGCCCAAATTCCTGGGAGATCAGATGTATGGGAGCCAGAATTTGGTGTTTGGTTTGGGAGGAGCCAGGGTACAGAAAAGACCACCAAGGGGGTCTTGACCTCATGAATGGCAGGTGTCAGAGTCACAAGTCTGGGAAGACACACACTGGTTCTCATGATGCTGAAGGGTCTAGAGTAGTCATGCTCTCTGAAGACTGCAGCTTCACCTTGGCAGCGAGAAAACCGAAGAAGCCCTCTAACCACAGAGGAAAAGAGGCTCAGAGCCCTCCAGCAGGAGGCTGTCTCCTGTACCCAGCTCTGCCACTTCTGACCCAACCCAGGGCCCAGAACATCTTCAGAGCTAGGAGTTTTACAAAGAATTTGATTTTATTGATATTTAAATATATTAAATATTTCACTGAAATACATGATACACCACCCTCCCCCGCCCCACAGTGGTTACATTATAAAACCAAAGTCCATGGGCCTCCCATCCACTGACTCCCCCATCACCTGGTGAGAAAGGGGGCGATGGTAGCCCAGGAGAAGGGCATGGCTGGCACTGTGGTATGGGGAGTGGGTGTGGACAGGCCCCTCCCACTTGGCAAGAAGCAAAGACAAGTCACCGAAGACTAAGGTCTTCCCACTCTGGTCTCCTTACATCCTCACCCCCAACCCAGGGCTCCAAGCAGTCCCTTCCTATCCAGGGATATGGCTGGGGAAAGGAAGTTGATTTTCTGTCTGGACCAACTAGTCTTTTCCCCTCCTCCTAGCCATGGCCAATGAAGTGCCCGATGGCCCATTTGTTGATGCATGAAGATCCCCCAAGGGAGGCAATACGAGCCAGAAACCAGGCCTCTGCAAGGAGCTTGAGTCAGAAAGGGCACGAGGAAGGGCAAGAGTACCACCTATCCCTTCCATTCCCCAAACCCAGCAACTCTGGGACCCTCTCTCCTCTGTCTCTCTCATCACCTCCAAGACAAAATGATGTTCAAGCAAGATTCAGACTAATGCCTCTGGCTTAAATAGGTACAGACAGAGAAACCAAGGCACCAACTAATTCAGGCCTGAGGCAAGGAGGCTGCAAGGAAAGGAGTAAAAGGAAGGCAGAGATAGGAAGGGAATCTAGAGTCCAACCTTCCAACCCTCCTTCTAGGCCTTGCAGGCTTCATGGGGACTGGGGAGCCAGGAACATGCTAGACTGAGACGGGAGGCTGCGGAACGCCAAGTTTCAGGTTCCTTGCCCTATCCCCTAGTACCAAAATCTGGGTCCTCAGAGAGATCCCATGCTACCTCGGTCCCAAAGTATACCACCAGCCGGGGAACCCAGGAAATTCCTGAGCCTCTGCCCAACAAACCCCAGACAGTTCAAGTGCACGGAGCACTGAGGCTCAAGCAGGCGCTTGGGTCCCTGCCCCAGGCAGGGAGACAGTCATGCTGCACACGCGGCCCCCAAATGGCACTTAGGGATTTGGCACAAAAAGGACTCCTCTCACCAGGGCCACCTTCCTCTTGCAACCACACCCCATGCCACTCCTGTGCAACCTAGGCATCTCTCTCCATCCCTTGAAATCAGAAGCCCTGCCTTATTCCCAGAAGACAGAGGCCCACAGGAGAGAGGCAACCCCGGGCAGAGAGCTGAGGAGGAGCACAAGAACACACACAGACCTGGGAAACAGCTGCACACACAAAGGCCAACATGCACACACATTACACAGACACACAGGCCCTCCCCAGGGCCAAAGACTTGGGAGGACGAGTTTGAGATCAGGGTCACCCTCCTCCGTGCCCTGACCCTTTTCTATTTGGCAACAGAATGGGTAGAGATGCTCTGCGTCCCCTTGCCAGCAGACAGCAAGAGAGCACGGGGGGGACGGGGGTGGGGTGGGCAGAGTTACCTGATCATGACCCCAGTGGGGCCCTCAGATCAAGAGTCTGGTACCACCCCGCTCCCTGGCTGGCCTGCTCTCTTTGGCACCTGCCCGTGAACTTCCAACTCCTGGTCTTCTGACATCCGCACACACCCACTTGCTCTCTGGCTGGGCATTTTCACAGTACCAATGAGGCCAGATGCCCCTTTCCCTGGAGCTGTGCAGGAACTGGGGCTAAATCTGAGCTGTCAAAAGTCCCTTTGTTCCCCTTTGGGGACAGATCATGGGACTAGGATTTGGCAAATGGAAACATTCCCCTGAAACATGGACAGAGCTGGGTCCCCAGGGCATCTTCCTCCTCTGCCCTGTGCCTAGGAGGGAGAACTGACCGGGGTGGGGTACCCAAGGCCAGTGCTGGGGATGCAGGCATAGCAGAGGCAAGCATGGAATAGGCACTCCTCAGGCCTGCCCCAGTCTTTGTACAAAATATTCCCAGGAAAAAGAGGGAAAGGAAGGGCCCAGCCCTGAGTCTGTTGCCCAGACAGACAGGGAAAGGGTAGGCATGGCAAGCTGCCATTTTAATCCCTCAGGCAGGAGGGCTCCTTCCACCTCTACCCCTGCCCCCCTCCACCCCCTCACCGGCCCCCTGGCTCCCGAAAGCTGGAACAAAGAGGCAACAGCCCTATCCCAGTTGGAAAAGTAAAAGTCACTTGCATAATCCTCTTGGTATCCCTTGTTCACCAGCCTGAGGGCAGACGAGCATGATCCAAGCACAGCCTGCTGGTGTGCTCCCTTCTGTGGTCAGCAGGGTCTAGAGGCTTCGTGCCCCCTGCCATGGCTCCACCAAGCGAGCCCAGAGTCCACTCAGATGCCCACCTTGGTCCTGACAGCTGAATCTGTAGCTGGGCCCTGTTAACTGGGGGGGCCCCCGTTGAGGAAGTAGGTGGTCATCTCCCCCTTGCCCTTCACCTTGACCACCCCTCGACACTCCAGCTGGTAGCCTTTGGCAGCCAGAACCTGGTACAAGTCCGTGGTCACCTGGGGGATGGGAGGGGAACCCATTTAGCCTGGCATCCTTCCTACTGCATTTGTAGGGGTCCAGGGGTTCTCTGATCATGCTAGCCCCACCCCAAACCACACACCCCCCAACCACAGAACACTGCCACCCTACCCCTGTCCTAGCTGACCTCAGAGAGGGACCTGCAGAAGCCCTCTAGACCCATACCCTTCCCAGCCTCTGCCCACATCCCCCTCACCTGGATTCGGTCAGGGACCCCCGTGCTGTCCATACGGCTAGAGACATTCACTGTGTTCCCCCAGATGTCATACTGAGGCTTCCGAGCCCCAATGACACCTGCCACGACTGGGCCCATGTTCAGTCCTGCGATGGGGACAGCAGGAAAAAACTGAGACTAATGACATTCCAGGGTCAGCCCAGGGAGTCATCCCACCTCCTGGAACCTTTAGAAGGACCCAGAGAAGAAAGTGACGAAGGGACAAGTGTCCTGGTTGTAAAAAATGGCAGATCTGGGCATGTCCTGAGGCGCTCCCCTGAGTTAAGACAGCCACTGCCATCACAGTAGCTAAATCCACTGAAAGCTCGCTCTGCGCCAACCCCTCCGGGAAGCATTTTGCATTCCATTACTTCATCCCCTCAACGGCCCTCAACGGTAGGTATCAAGCCCGTTTTACAGATAGCCTTGGGGAGCTGAGAGGAGTTGGGCAACGTGCTAAATAAGCCAGTAAGTGGAGCAGCCAGAGTTCAAACCAGAGTGACTCCAGAACCCACGCCGTTAACCGCTCCTCCCACCCACCAGCTCCCAGCTCATCTCAGAGGTGCCTCTCAGACTGGCCATACATAAGGACACAGGTGCTGGAGTGTAAATAAACCTGGTTTTGAATCCCACTGCAGCCATCTACTAGCTGTTTGGCCGTGGCCAAGTTATTTTAACCTGAGAGTCAGTCTCTATCCGTAAAAGGGGATGACAACGTGAAGATTAAAATGTCTAGGACAGGGCCTAGCACCCAGTAGGCCCTCAATAAATGATCTCTGTTCTAAATGGGAGACGAGACAGGAGGTGGGAGTAAAGGACATCCCGCAGGGTTCCTGATGGGGCATCTGTGACGCCATCCCTAGGCTGCTTCCTTGGCCTCACCCAGAAGCAGCCCTGGGAAAAGCCCCCATGCAACCAGGCCATCTCACCAATCTTCATCTGGAAATTGTTGAAGGAGTGCTCATTGATGTGTTTCATCTGCTCCATGAGCCGCATGGCGTAGTCGGCCAGGGCGGTGATGTGGGAGCGGCCTGCCTGATCATAGGTGCTGGCATTCAGCCCTGAGGCCGCCATGTAGGTGCTACCGATGGTCTTGATCTTCTCCAGCTGCCGGAACCGCTCCTCGCTGATGATCTGGCCAGCACGGGGAGACCCGACTGTCAAGGCAGAGAGGCCAAACGCACGCACCCTGCCCGATGCTCACTCTTGCCCTGCCTCGGCCTCTCCCCGCTTCCCTGTTTCAACAGCTCCCCTCCTTCGAGTGAGTGTGCCCCCGCCTTCCAGCTGTCGTTCTCAAGGCGGGACCGAGGAGCCAGAACACAGGGCTCCTTCGCCAGGCAGTCATCAGAACCCCAGGCCAGGACTTAATGCGTACAGCTTCAGCCCAGCTTCAAAAGCTCCCTCGCAGAATCCGGGACCACAGGAGGGATATTAGCCACCAGTTATTCTGTCACTTTTTGGGAAACTGAGTGCCAGAGTGAAGAAGTGACTTGGCTCCAAAACAGTAAATGGCTCATTCCTGACCTGGATATTCAGGATACTTCCTCATGCTTGCTTCCACTTTCTCTATTCAGGGGCCCATCTTGCTTCCTTGGGCTCACGTGGGGTTCTGTCTGCAGACCACCGCTTTCGTATCCAGTAACATCCACCTGGTACCCATCCCGTCCCCCCCCAAGGGCCTCCCGTCTTTGCTCCCCGGCAGTGACGACCCCACCGCACTGAGGCCGAGCTCCTTGCTGCCTCGGACACCCCGGCGGGTCCTTGTCCTTGCCTCTGCTGTGCCCACCCTCACTCCTACCCTGACATCTCAGGGTCCCATCCATCCTCCCT